TCTCTATACTCTTGAATCAGAATGAAAAGGCAAAGAAAAAATGAAGAACCGTGAGACAGTTTTCCTAGCTGAGGGGTTTTCTTTGCTTTTTCCAGTTGTTTGAGTGAGTGCCAGGTTGAAGCCTCTGTAGGATGGGTAGAAGAATATCATGTGACCTATGCCAGTTTGGGAATCTAGGCCTGTGTTGAACTTAGCAGCTTCTCGTTCCCCCAGGCTTATGAGACCACCCACAATCTCAGCCTGTGCAGGACTAGGAGCCACTTTGTCCTGGTTTTCACTTGGACCCTTGGGACCAGCTAATTGCCCCAAATCTCTTTTCAGTTGAGCTTAGCGGTGTGCTAAATGCCAGATTCTCTGGTCATCTGTTCTTTCCGGTCCTCTCTCCGTATACTCTGTATGTTCTTGCTGCCTATCCTGTTACTGCCCTTCTTCCCTACACTGTGCTTTCTGCCTAGGGAAGCCCCTGCTGCGTAGTGAATAAGCTCTCCCCTTAGTCTGTAATTCTCCATGGATTTGCCCATCTCCGTGACTGAACTAAAAGCAGGTCTCCCCCAAGTGTGCTGCTCCTTTCACGAGCAGTCCTCACATGATTGGAAGAACAACAGGGAGGAAAGCAGAAACAATCTCTAATTTCTTAGGCCTACTCACCTACGCTTTATTGTTAAAAAAAAAATCACTCTACTTTAGAGGCTTACTCTCTTCAGATGCTAACCATCCACCTTACCAGTCACTGTCATTAACTTGTCCATATATCCACCTTCATCAACAACCCCTTCCCCTGACTCAGTCATTTCCTTCCCCCTAAATCTCATGTCCATTCTTGGTCTTTCATATCTACTTTGGAGGCCCTTCCAATCGTGAGGAAATACACTGATGTGAGGCCGAAATTCAATGACTGATTTTTTTTTTTTAAAGCAGTGAGACAAAAGTTTTGAAATACTAAAAATGGTAGTCTGTATAATTGTTTAGAAATATTCAGGCCCTGTAGGAGAATAAAACACCCCACTTCTTTGAATTCAGGAGTAGTCAAGTAACTTTCTCTGGCCAGGGAAACACAAATGGACCAATTGTGTTAATTTCATTCAAAAGCTTTAAGGGCCAAGGAATGGCTCATTACATTTTTCCTGCCTCTGAGGTTGCTGAGATACAATGTGCAATAGACTTGTTTTAAACTATTGATAATTTCAACACAATTTAGCATGTACTGATGGGTATATTGTGAAACAGAGATTATCCTCTCTCCAACTAAAAAACATGTTTCATCTGTAAGGTTCTTTCTTTTCTATCCAAGATAATCTATGCTAGTGACTCTGTGTGTGTATGTGTGTTGTATTTCCTAGTTTTTGAACATCAAGGCACATTGAATTTCTCCCAGATAAAGGAGCATATAAACAGAGAGTTTTCCTTTTGTAGGTAAGTTTTTCTATTACCTGCCTCAAATGGGAACCTTACTGGAATAGAGATAATTGATGATTATGTCATCCAATTATGTCTTTCTTTTGTTATTTCAGGGACTTAGAAGGAGGTTTCCTCTAAAAAAATATTAAAGACATTTCTCTTTTCTTCCCTTGCTCCAACATGTGTACATCCCTTCTTGGGATGGAATGGTCAGAGCCATAGTAGAATACTTGATTTGGTAATTAAAGCACCAGTTCCAAGGTTCAGAAACAATCCTGATAATACTGATCAATTCCATATCTTCCTAAGAAAATGAAGAACTGTCATGTATTCAGTATCCAAAAAAAAAAAAAAAAAAACAACAAAAAACCACTCCTTGGCTTATAAATAAGATCATTTAAAGTCTTTCTGAATAAGAGCTAATATTTGGAATATAATACTAATTCTGACCTCTTCTTTAGTCTCCATTTCTTGTTTTCCTCATTCCAGAACTAGAACGATATTCTTATCCTTTCCCGCCCCCCCCCCTTTGGTTGAAGCTCTTAAACATCACACCCTCTTTTTTCTTGAGCTGTTATTCACTGTCTGCCTCCGTGGTGTGCTGGAGCCGGCTCCCGCAGCCTCTTGAGAACAGATTGTTATGTTTCTTCCCAACTTCAGGTTCAGTGGCTTCACATTGAGTGCAGTGACTTCAGCCATGGTGGTTGATTTACAGAGAAAATAAAACACACTGGCTTGCTATATTTAAAATGTCATCCCCGTATATATATATATAACCATATGGATAACTTTCATCCAGGACTTGAACCTAAACCTCCTTCCCCTCTTCAGTGCCAGCCATCTCCCTGCATTCCATTTCCGCTGCTCATTCCCAAGGCCATATCCTCCTTAACGTAATTTGGAACTGATTCATCCCTGAAATATTAGACCAAATACCCTACCCTGAGTTCATACTCCCAAGATTCTCAACTCATTGCTCTCTTACTCTCATTGCACCGGTTTTCAGAGCTCCAACCCATTTATTCTTCCTCTTCCACAAATATATCAGCCCTTTTCTGTCTATGCTTCTTTTTCTGACCACCCTAGTCCCCACAATCCAACACATGCATTATTTTTTTTTTTTTCTCCCTTAATCCCTTTCGTTCCCATATGGATCAATCAGTCCCTGTAACGTGTGTGCTGCTGTTGTACACAGATAGACTTTCGAGAAGCCACGGAGAAACAGTTCTGCATACTTGTGTTTTGTGACCCAGGGGTTGGCAAATGTTTTCTGTAAAGGGATATGTAGTAAATATTTTAGGCTTTGTGGGCTGCATACCGTCTCCTTTTATGTTGTTTTCTTTTTTGTGTGATACTTTACAAATGTAAAATTCTTAGCTGGGGAATTTATAAAAAAAAAGGCCAATGCCTGGAATTAAGAGCCGATGCCTGCTCTTACCTCAGACTGACCCACAGCAATGCGTGGCAATTCTTGTTGAAAGCCTCCATCTGCTCCCATTCTCCACAGCAGCTTCTCTTAATTTTGACCATCAGAAAGTTCCTATGCAACTCGCCCCCTGCTTCAGCTTCATAGCAGACCATAGCTTACTATTCATAAGTAGGCCTCTGCCTAGCTGTTTTTCTCATCACCTTCTCACATACTTCTGTGGCTACTGCCATTTCAAATGAGTCGAGACCTTTTCATTTTGAAAGACCACCATGGGCCCCAAAGTTTCAAAATACCACTACAACACATAATGTTCCCCCATAAAAACACAGTGAAGTGTACCCAAAAATATAAGTTGCTCTGCAAATCCATAATGAGGAATACTACATGATAGACACTTCACTGGCAAGGAGGTGTTCTCAAGCCCCCCAGCCATTCAGATATGGTCATACCTCAGCAACATTATGGACTGTCACCTTCATGTTTGCTTGGAAGAGCCAAAATTGTGAAGACTAAACTCCTGAGTGCCAGAGAGTTTCTGTATTAACAGTTCTGGGAAAAGGTCTTTAGACTCTCTGTCACTTTATACTCTTTCACATGAGGGTCCCCCTGCCTAGAAGACTCTTCAATTACCCTCACCCCCTCTTTACCTGGGTAGGCCCTACCTCTGGAATAACTGGATCAGACTATAGACATTAAGACATCAAGATGCATATCCCTGAATTATTTGTCAGACATTTGTATCAATTTAAACTCTCTCTCACAGTGTGTAAAAATGTCCTTTCCACCAAATGGGGGACATACTTTTAATATTGTTTCAAAATGTATTAATTTATTGTTTCAGAAGAATGTTTAAACTATATAACTGCATACATGTCTGACCACAATGCTTTATTCTGTGAATGTTTGGTATGCTATAATTATAGTACTAATAGCTCTCATAATTCTTTACCTTGGTTTATTCTATGGAATTATTTCAGCACTTTGGAAAAATCATTCTGGGTTTGTTATAAAATTTGCTTTGCTAGCCATGCATGGCACCTGAAACTGTAGGTATTTAAGTGATTATTTCTTGGGATGTGCTCATCTGAGTGCAAATGAGTTTGGCTCTGAACAGATTTTAGCAGGCGTTTGACAGCTTGGATGACTGGCACATTGTCATCTTCATAACACACCTAAAATGTAGAGTGCCAAAAATCACAAACAGGTTGGGTGTAGTTAAAGATCTGAGACCTTGTCCGACTTAGTTAATCGTTTAAATCATAGCAGCAGAAATATGCCAACTGTAATTAAAATTACAGCCTGTGATGTAAAATATGATTATCTTACCTGCAGATATATATTTTTATTTTAATATTCCATATTCATGTTAAAATGTGTCTTTGTAAGACTAGTGTGTGGTGTCAGATTGATAGTTGGTTGGTGGGACTGGAAAACTTCTTGGACAAGAAGGGTAATTTTGGTATACTGATCAGCACTTTTTTACTCTGACCATTTTGAGTTTTTGTTGTTGTTGTTCTAGGGCTATAACACTTGGGGAATTTTTATTGATGAGGAGCCAGATCCATTTTTGTTATATGTAGATAATAGACATTAATAAAACACAGCAAAGGGACCCTGGCAGAATCAGTGATTCATAACACATAAAACACTCTTTCTGGAGGTGTTAGGGTTTAATAAAGAGAATTTTGAATCATTGTGTGTGTGTGTGTGTGTGTGTATGTATTCATTAATATCCACAAGTTGTTGAAATACAAAAAGAGAATAAGGGCTTAAAAAGGTATAAGGCTCAATCTTTTTTTTTTTTTAATTTGGTTTTCAGAAATTTCTACCATGTACAAAATATTCACTAGATGATTTTATTCCTAGCACCGTAAGTCATCAATGTATATCAAGTATCTGTTTTAAATTTCTTCTTAAATTTTTTTCCCCAGAGAGGTAATGTAGGAATTCTGATCAGTTGAAAACTGATACCACGGATATGACATATGCAAAGTAAAAAGAGAAATCAGTGAGGGAGGGAGAATCAGAAGAATCTGCTATCTTGAGAAGCAAGGCTGGAAGTGTTAGCATGAGGGAAGAAGGGAGGCCGTTTAGAGGAATGGAGTGAAGAGGGCACTAGATTTTGTTATAAGCAAACAGGAGTTCCCCCTTATCTATGGTTTTGCTTTCGCAGTTTCAGTTACTCCAGTCAACCGCAGTCGGGAGGCGGATGATCCTCCTTCTGACGAATCATCAGAAGGCCAACAGTGGACTAACGTAATGCTGCGCTAGACTGCATCTCAATGCCTACGTTATTTGCGTCCGTCACACATTTGATCGTTTCGAATCCTCCTGAGAAGGGTGAGTACAGAATGGTAAGATATTTTGAGAGAGACCACATTCACATAATTTTTATTATAGTACGTTGTTATAATTGTTTTATGTTATTATTAGTTACTGTTGTTAATCTATTGCCGTGCCTAATTTATAAATTAAACTTTATCAGGTATGTATGTAGAGTACGTCTGTACCATCCCTGGTTTCAGGCATCCCCTGGGGGACTTGGAATGTATCCCCTGGGAATAAAGGGGTCCTGCTATAGTGATAGTTCTGGTATTATTTCTCGTTATCTTGTACCACAGTGAAATTTTTTTTTTTATATTTTATTTATTTGAGACAGAGAATGAGATAGAGCATGAGAGGGGGGAGGGTCAGAGGGAGAAGCCGACTCCCTGCCCAGCAGGGAGCCCAATACCACAGTGAAATTTTAATTCCCTCATTTCCATTTTCCAGACAAGGAAATTGAGACGCATAGACTTGTCCACTATCTCCCAATGAGATGGGGTTGAAGCAGAGACCAGAAGGCAGATTTTTTTTTTTTTAATTCCAGTGTAATCAAGTGTTCTATTAGTTTCAGGTGTATAGCATAGTGATTCAGCAGTACTGTACATTATTCAGTGCTCATCACAGTAAGTGTACTCCTAACCTCCTGCACCTATTTCAACCATCCTCCCACCCACCTGCCCTCTGGTATCAGTTTGTTCTCTCTAGTTAAGAGTCTGTTTTTTGGTTCGTCATTTTTTGTTGTTGTTGTTCGTTTGTTTCTTAAATTCCACATATAGGAATTATGTTTTTTTCTAAGGTTTTGTTTTTTCTCTGACTTATTTCTCTTAGCATTAAACTCTCTAGATCCATGCATGTTGTTGCAGATACCAAGAGATCATTATTTTTCATGGCTGAGTAATATTCCAGAAGGCAGATTTTTTTTTTTTTTTTTTTTTTTTTGGTATGTGTGTTTTCACGTCTGTGATCCCTCTTTGATGATAGAGAAAACATGTCCATCTGGTAGTTTGAGTTATTTGAAATCTGGAATGCCTGTGACTGATGTTTCTTAAACGTGCTATAATTTATACATTCAAAAGAGTTTTATTCTTTCCAAGTATCATGTTATGCAATTATACATTAATTCCCAAACTGATTTATGATCTAGGTAGCCTTGGGAAACTTTCTTAATCTTTCTAAACTTTCATTTTCTCATGTGTAAGATGAAGATAATATCAACCTTGCATGATTACTTAAAGGTTTGGAGCGGATGTATATAAACCCTATAGGCACATCAAGAAATAGTAGCTAGTGATAAAAACAAAACACAGCTTATATTCATTGATATATATTACTGTTTAGTGCTTTACATACAACATCTCTTTTGATCACGTAGACTATTTTTATGAAGATTACCATTTAAAAATATGTATTAGTATTGCTCAAAGAATGTTCTAATTCATCTTCTGGAAGGTTTACATCTGAGTAATCAGAAGAGCCAGGTTTCTGAACATAAAGCTCTGCTTCCCTGCTGTATAGAGCCTTCCTTGTATATGACCATTTTGTAGGCATCTCTGAACCACCATAGACCCTGCCCCTGATCATGACAACTGTATTGTTTTATGTGGAGGTGATTAGATTCCTATTAGTCTGGTTACAAATCACAAACTTAAAGGTTTAAAATAAAACAAATTTATTATCTTTCAGTTCTGTATGTTAGAAGGCCTACACGTGTCTCACTGGGCTAGAATCAAAGGGTTGGCTGGGCTGTGTTCTTTCTGGAATCCCTGGGAGACAATATATTTCTTTGCCTTTTTCAGCTTCTAGAGGTTGCCCTGGCTTGTTGGCTCATGGCCCCACTCTTCCATCCTCAAAGCCTATAACATTAGGCCATACTTGCCTCATGCTTTATCATTCTGGTTCTCCCTCTTCTGTGTCCCTCGTCCATTGGTAGGGACTCTGATTACATCAGGCCCATTTAGATAATATGGGAAAGTCTCCTTATTCTAAGATCAGCTGATTACTGACCTTCATTAGATGTGCAACCTTAATTTTCCCTTGCCATGCAACATAATGTAGTCGTGGGTTCTGGGGATTAAGATGCAGAAATCTTTGGGGGGCCATTATTCTGCTCACCACAGGAGAGTGCATAAAAGGCAGTAGAAGCTGCTAGTTAGGAGCTTAATAATCTTACTTTATGTTCTCCATTGAAGAATCAGATAGCATTGACCTAACCTTCACCAGCCTTGTTTTGTTATCAGTGCTGCTTTGCAAATGGGAGATTTCCTTTTGCCAGCAAAATTATTTTATATAACATTTGTGTACAGCAACATCTTTAAGGTATGTTAATATTATAATCCCTAGTATATCTCAACAATTTACCCTCAAAGAGACAGTGTGATAGAGAAAAGACATTCTTGGGAGGAAGCATGGGTACTGAGTATGGACCATACTTTCCTGCATGCATCCTGATCCCCACTGTTGTGGCTAGGAGAACAGGGTAGGAGGCAGATGAATCTAGGTTTGAGTCTCAGTGTCAGCTATGTGATTGTGAGCAAGTATTTAAATCTTATAAACTGTAGTTTGCTCATATATAAAATAAAAACGTTAGTGCTTATTTATAGGGTTATTGTTATGAAATGAAATAATACATGCAAAGTATTTAACATAGTACCTGACTCAGAGGACCCCATTAGTGCGGGTGACTTGTTACTTTCATCTTTGTGAAGTTTAGTTCCCTTATCTTCAAGAAAGGATTGGCCCAGATTCACCTAGGTCTAATAGTCTGTGGTTCTAGGTATGGTTCTCTCTGTATGAAAGGATTAAACAAGTTAACTTTGTTTTGTTTTATTTTTGGAGAGTGAGGTATGTAGATTTTAATTAGGTATTAAATATCTCTTCTATAAAGGTTATACATCCATTTAGGTTTTTTATTTTTATTTTTGTTTGAGATGGATTGGATAGGGTATATGTTTTTAAGATATTATCCTTTTTGTTTTAGGTTGCATACTTAACAGCATATTTGGCCATAGTATTCTTTTTGATTAAAAAACGTCTCTACTGGGGTGCCTGGGTGGTTCAGTCAGTTGAACATCCAACTCTTGATCTCAGCTCCGGTCTTGATCTCAGGGTCAAGAGTTCAAGCCCCACGTTGGGCTCCACGATGGGCATGGAGCCTACTTAAAAAAGAAAAACAAAAACAAAAAACAAACAAAAACAAAAACAAAAAACTCAACTCCATTATTTCTGTAGCTATGTCCCTTCTCTTCACATTAAATATTATTTATTTGCCTTTCCTCTTTGTTTTATCATTTTTGCAGGTGGTTTGTCTAATTAGCCTTTTTGTTTGTTTTTAAAACCAGCTTTTATTTTTACTGACTCTCTATTTTTGTTTTTAAACATATCACTGAATTCTGCTTTTATTTTTATTATTTTATAGCTAGTCGTTGATTTTCACTCTTTTTTTTTTTAAAGATTTTATTTATTTATTTGACAGAGAGTGAGAGACAGCAGGAGAGGGAACATAAGCAGGGGGAGTGGGAGAGGGAGAAGCAGGCTTCCTACTGAGCAGGGAGCCCGATGTGGGGCTCGATCCCGGGACCCTGGGATTGTGACTGGAGCCAAAGTTAGCCGCTTAACAACTGAGCCACCCAGGCTCCCTGATTTTTGCTCTTTTTCTAAAAAAATATATGCAGTAAAGAATGTACATTTTCTTCTGACTATTGCTTTAGCTGCATCCCAGAAGTTTTGACATGTAGAATTCTTATTATTGTTTAATTATAAATATTTTAAAACTACCATTGTAAAAATTATAATCCATGTAGCATTTAGATGTGTTTTTAAAAATTTCTAAGTATATGGGTTTATCTTTTTGTTTTTGACTACTAATACTGTATTTATTCAGTGATTGTGATCTGAATGACAGATATTCTTTGATATTTGTTGAAATTTGTTTTATTTTCTAGTAGAAGGTCAAATTTTGTAAATCTTCTATAGGGGCTTGAGAAAAATATGCATTCTTAATTGGTGTATATGCAAAATTTGATACAGCACATACTGATATTTTTGTCCTTGATTTATCAGTTAGTAGGAAAAGGTTATTAAAATCTCTCACTATGGTGATATTATTCATTTATTTTTGCATCTCAGTTAAGTTTTGCTTAGTGTATCTTGAAGCTATTTTGTTAGGTAAATACAAATTTGTAAATTTTTTTGTCGTCTTGTAAAATTGTTAAATTATTAATGCTCTCAATGTATAATGACCTTCTGTATTTCAAAATACCTTTTGGCCCTAAATTACATTTTTCTCTGCTATTAATAAGGTGCCTGAAGTTTTTATTTGTTTGTTTTGGGGCCAGGCATCTTGTTTCTCCCTTTACTTTCAACCTTACCGTGTCTTTGTATTTTAGGTGTCCCTCTTTTAAATACGTGTAAGTGAATTTCTTTGTTTAGTCAACCTTTGAGTTTGTAACTGATCTGTTTTTATCTTCATTGAAAATCTTGTTTTGTAATTGAGATATAATTGACATATAAAATTATATTAGTTTCAGGTGTACAAGGTGATTTATATATTGCAAATTGATCATCATGATAAGTCTAGTCAACATCCATCACTACACATAGTTACGCATTTTTTTTCATGTAATGAGAACTTTTGAGATCTATTCGCTTAGTAGCTTTCAAATATACACTACAGATTGTTAACTATAGTCACCATGCTGTGTATTACAACCCTAGCACTTATTTATTTGATAATTGGAAGTTTGTACCTTTGGCTGCCCTCACCCATTTTGCCCATCCTCCTATCCCCACCTCTGGCAATCAGCAATCTGTTCTCTGATTCTGTGAGTTTTGTTTTGTTTCATTTTAGATTCCAGATATAAGTGAGATCACATTGTATCTGTCTTTCTGTCTGACTTATTTCACTTAGCATAATGCCCTCACAGTCCATCCATGTTGTCACAAATGGCAAGATTTCTTTCTTTTTTCTGGCTGAATAATATTCCACAGCATATGAAAATCTTCTGAACTGGAGAATT